ATCCATTCAAACAAACAGACAGTCATACTATCGTTATCATGTGATATGACGATCCATTCAAACAGACAGACAGTCATACTGTCGTTATTCTGTGATATGACAATCCATTCAAACAAACAGACAGTCATGTTATCGTTAGCATGTGATATGACGATCCATTCAAACAGACAGACAGTCATACTGTCGTTATCCCGTGATATGACAATCCATTCAAACAGACAGACAGTTCTACTGTCGTTATCCTGTGATATGACAATCCGTTCAAACAGACAGACAGTCATACTGTCGTTATCATGTGATATGACAATACATTCAAACAGACAAACAGTCATACTGTCGTTATCCTGTGATATGACAATCCACTCAATCAGACAGTCAAACTGTCGTTATCATGTGATATTACAATCCATTCAAACAAACAGACAGTCATGTTATCGTTAGCATGTGATATGACGATCCATTCAAACAAACAGACAGTCATACTATCGTTATCATTTGATATGACGATCCATTCAAACAGACAGACAGTCATACTGTCGTTATCATGTGATATGACAATCCATTCAAACAGATAAACAGTCATACTATCGTTATCCTGTGATATGACAATCCATTCAAACAGGCAGACAGTCATACTATCGTTATCCTGGAATATGACAATCCACTCAAACAGACAGTCAAACTGTCTTTATCATGTGATATGACAATCCATTCAAACAAACAAACAAACAGTCATACAATATGACAATCCATTCAAACAGACAGACAGTCATACTGTCGTTATTCTGTGATATGCCAATCCATTCAAACAAACAGACAGTCATGTTATCGTTAGCATGGGATATGACGATCCATTCAAACAGACAGACAGTCATACTGTCGGTATTCTGTGATATGACAATCCATTCAAACAAACAAACAAACAGTCATACAATATGACAATCCATTCAAACAGACAGACAGTCATGCTGTCGTTATCCTGTGATATGACAATCCACTCAAACAGACAGTCATACTGTCGTTATCATGTGATATGACAATCCATTGAAACAAACAGACATTCATATTGTCGTTATCCCGGGATATGACAATCCATTCAAACAGACAGACAGTCATGCTGTCGTTATTCTGTGATATGACAATCCACTCAAACAAACAGACAGTCATGTTATCGTTAGCATGTGATATGACGATCCATTCAAACAAACAGACAGTCATACTATCGTTATCATTTGATATGACGATCCATTCAAACAGACAGACAGTCATGCTGTCGTTATCCTGTGATATGACAATCCATTCAAACAAACAAACAAACAGTCATACAGTCGTTATCATGTGATATGACAATCCATCACGGATATAACCATGTATTAGGTACCCTACGTGACATTAACACGCCTGTATATTTTCTGTCTGTGACTGTCAGTGCAGATGTCTGATGGGTGTAGATCTACTTACCGGTGTTAAAGTCATGCACTTCCGTCAGGTCGTTTGTTCCGAACGGGCTGTTGTCTGTCGGTGATGGTCGGTAGGTGTACCTCACAAAGTTGTTAACGGAGTCGTAGTATTCCTATAAAATAATTTACCACATTTTGACATGCTTGTTTTCAGATTCACATTACACAGTTTGGGAAATTGGTGTTCGCTTAAACAAATAAAACAAACACACTGACAAACAAGGAGTTGGCAGGAACACCATATGTAGTCCTGTAGAGATTGGTATATGTTGTCTTAGATCCAAAGTGTTGCGAAAGGGCAATGGGGACATCATATCTAGTTTGGTCTCTTCCGTGTCTTTTACGAAAATGACATGGAAAATACCAAAACAAGATCTGCTACACCCATTGGCATTGCAACACTTCTTTTTCTTTTTTTATCTTTCCTGTCTTCTTTCGTTTCTATCTACTTTCTTCTTTCAGGCGGTGTCTCCCTAGGCACCCGTTCTAATATGTCCCTGGCTATTTGCAAGGCAGACACACCTTGCAAAGGTTTGTAGAGATTAGTATTCGTACTAAGCATTTACAAAACTTTGACATGCAAACAGGTTGCAGAAACACATTATAAAATGGTGTAATAAAAAATATGTTCCTGTTAGTCATTTACAAAACTTTGACCTAAAATCAGCTTTCATTTGTGTATAGACTAGTATTTGTACAAATCATTTATTTAACTGGATACACAATATTTCGGTAGATTCACATCCATATCACCTTATCATTCCTGAAAATCGCTAAAAGGCTTTAAACATGCATTATTTTTTTTACTTATTACCAATCCTGGATACTGAACTTTCTGGCAGGTCCACCTCAGGGATCGGTGTTTTAGAACAGTATTCATGGAAGTAATTTGCTAAACTAGCAAAATAACCTCATCGAGTTGTTTACAACACTAAACAATTCCACTCACTAAACAATGTTACATACAGCAGCTGACATATTTTACCGGGATAATCAGTTTCCGTCATATTCCGGAACGCCACTTACCGTCATATAGGAGACAGCGTTAAGGGTTTTGTCAACAACCTCTACGGTAAAGCTAAATGCGTCGGGAACACTCGGAACCGTTTTGGTGTTTGAACGGTTTGTACACAGTACGCCAGGTGGGGTCTGCAAGACAAAAGTATTTGTAGCGGTGCGTTAGATGACGTTAATATGGTCTGCATACGAGTAAATACTAAAATAGAACCTGTTATATACAGGCATAATTTATTTCATTCAGATTTTTTTAATATAATCAATATTATATATATAGATATTATATTGATATTAAGAAGGGCCAACAATTATGAAGCAAATACTCATTTCCATCTATCGCTCATCCCTTGCAGGTGCAATATCTGAACAGCTCTACAGACTTGCAGACCTAATAAAATCAATTGCCTGTAGAGTTCCATTCAAAATGAGTCTATCTCCTTTTCGATAGCCCCCTCCCCCTCTTTACCACAACCACCAAACAATACACAACAACAACAACAACAACAACAACAACAACAAACTTCACCTGGAAAATCGAGTCAGGTGGGCTGGAGGGCCGGAAATGGAAGATGTCATACATGTGTTCTATTGGCCGAGGTGTCGAAGTGGGCGTGTCCCATACAAATCCTTTGACGTAAGCACCCACAGGTACGGGTTGACCAACGGCCGTGTCCCATTCTGTGCTAGCTGTCATAATTGGAACAAGTGACATTGAATAGAGGTTCACTGTAGAAAACGACACAAGTGATACAAAATCGAGGTTTACTGTAAAAACGTAATAGTTGACATAGCATAGAGGTTATCTGTAGAGAACGGAACAAGCGACAGTATATCTAGGTTTACTGTAGAAAACGGAGCAAGTGACATTGTATCGAGGTTAAATGTAGAAAACGGAACAAGTGACATAACGGAATAATTGACATTATATCCAGGTTACTGTAGAAAACGGAACAAGTGACATTGTATCGAGGTTTACTGTAGAAAACGGAACAAGTGACATTGTATCGAGGTTAACTGTAGAAAACGGAGCAAGTGACATTATATCGAGGTTTACTGTAGAAAACTACACAAGTGACATAATATCGAAGTTTACTGTAGAAAACCGATCAAGTGACATAACGGAATAATTGACATTATATCCAGGTTACTGTAGAAAACGGAACAAGTGACATTGTATTGAGATTTAGTGTAGAAAACGGAACAAGTGACATTGTATCGAGGTTAACTGTAGAAAACGGAACAAGTGACATTGTATCGAGGTTTACTGTAGAAAACGGAACAAGTGACATTGTATCGAGGTTCACTGTAGAAAACGGAACAAGTGACATTGTAACGAGGTTCACTGTAGAAAACGGAACAAGTGACATAATATCGAGGTTTACTGTAGAAAACCGATCAAGTGACATAGCGGAATAATTGACATTATATCCAGGTTACTGTAGAAAACGGAACAAGTGACATTGTATAGAGGTTTGCTTTAGAAAAATGGTGACATTATATAGAGGTTGACTATATAGTAAAAGTGAAAACACAATGAACAAACCTGAGAAATACCACTGAACGGTCATGGTTGCATCAAACGTGTCCCAATACTGGCATGACTGCCAAACGTCCACTGCAATACCTCGAACCATTGACTGGCCCATGTATACCTCCTTAGCGTCCGTCTGGAAATGTAGAGCTTGGCCAGCCGAGAAGATGTGTCCGGTCTGTCCTGGTCTCGTCTGATAACCGAACATGAACCGCTGGGAGGAGTCACTCAGCTTCGACGCAGTACACAGTGCTATTAGAACAAAATAAGAAAGCACGTTAAATATTCGCGTTGCTACTCTTTAAACTGATAGCGGTGTGACCTTTTTGGCGTTTGGTGGAGTTTTTTTCTGGTTATTTTCGCGCATATTTACAAGACGTGAAGAACGTGAACATTTCCACACCGCAATAACAGAAACTTCAATTAGCATAATTATATTTAAGCGTTATATTTAAAGTGGCAAATCGCTATTATTAGAATACCGCTAAAACATGTATATTTACAGTGATAGAAAAGTTACACGTTCCATACCAACAGAATTACTAAGCATGGAACTTTTAGCATCTATTTAGAGAGGGACCAAACTAAAGGATAATTATGATATTTAAGCCTATAGACTGAATGAAAAGCTGTCTTTTGGTCAGTTTTTTTTTATTTGTTCTCAAATATGTTCTTCTGGCTAGTAAATATGGATTATATACAGGTTTATATACAGCACAAACAGTGTTTATGAGTGAAGTTTTGATAACTATTACGATATATTTACATTTCTACTGAACTTGGACACAACATGTCCTAATAATCATTTTAAAGGATATTTTTCAATGAACTTTTCAGTTGGCGTATGAATATATAAGCATATTATCAATCTGATTACTCTGTTATTCCGCGGAGCGCGGGATGTAGTTATATTAACATATTGTTTTTCAATTTCTTTGCTATCACACATATCAAGAATTGGCGAGGAACATATATCAATAATTCAAGTATTTTGAACTACTTATCGTAAAGTATATGTAATATACATTACTTTGTCCATTCCGTAATATTGTAACAACCACATTCTGTAATATATGTAAACCGGAACCGGAAGTAATAATGCTGAATAAATCAGTCAGCTTTGCAAGCCAGAGTTGGTGTCATTCTGCATATGAATAATGCATCATGGCTGTATGAGGCCATCATTACATAAGTACGACAGCATCGATGATGTTCACGTGTATACTTACAGTATGTAGGAAAATAGGAGATGAACTCGTTGATACTGTAGTCATACCAGGCCTGATACAGTACCCCGTCTTGTTCCTGGTAGAGGACGCCTCTGTTGTTAATGTCATCGAAAAACTCGTGCATGTCTATCGTCAGGTTCTTGTTTTTAATAACACACTCGATATGAGCAGAAAATTGTTCGGGAATTGTAGGCTTCACAATAGCATTAACTGAATTTAAAAATATATATGTATGTAGGATTTTCATTACAATTTAATCGATTTGTATTGCATAAATTAAAAATATATTCAATTTGAATCAAATATGATTCAATAAATTCCAAATCCTATATAACTGGGTTATTAAAAGAATTATTTTTTAATTACATAGATTACACTCTTTTCGTTTTTAATTTGATTAAATTTATTCCAATAAATTCCAAATCCTATAGTATACATGTAAGTTCATCACAACAAAGTGATTGATTTTTTAATTACATAGATTCTCTATTCGATTTTAATTTGATCAAATTTAATCCAATAAATTCCAAATCCTATATTATTAGTTTATTAAAAAAAAATTAAAAAAATACATTATTTAAATCTAAAAATAAATTTAATCAAGTAAATTCAAAATCTTTTATCATATTGAATTCTTCAAGGGAGAGTACATTCCATTAAAATGAAGTGATCATTTTTAAAAAGTAATTTAAATAACTCATTGTACTTATTTACTAAATAAGGTATTCAATTTTGTTTCAATAAAAGCATACTCAGACATGGCCCTTATTCATGAAACCGTTCTCATGCTCAAAATCAGAGTTTGTGCTCAAGCCCAATTTCTTGATCCGGTGATACATCTTTAATATTTCACAAGATACATGTAACTTGGAAGAATTCCGGAGAGACTTGATGCAGAATATTGTTTTCGGATTTTACACCTAACCTTTTAACCATGCCAATTGATTTAAGCGAGTTATGTAATTACAAGATAACTTGTTTGAGCACAGAATCGATGCTTGAGCACAGAATCGATGCTTGAGCATGAGAACGGTTTTATGAATACGGGTCAAATTGTCTTTAATTACATCAAAATGGAAAAGATGAAGTAAATAAATAAAAACAAAATGTGGCGTCTGTAATGTTACTGTACCTACCTCCCTGAGGTGGTGTTGGGTCCCGACATACACTCGAGTCCTTTCCGTGTTTCGCCTGTCCGACCACGGCGCTCACCAACAGTGACAGTAATAGTAGTCTGGTCGTCATGGTAACAGTCTGATGTCGAAATTAAAGTTAGGTTAGTTTAAACATATTTGATTGCCAACAAATGCAAAAGGATTGGGCACAAGTTACATGAACATTATTAACGCCCTGTTAGGTTACGAACAATATTACTTGCAAATTTCGCCTCTTATTTTCATGTAAGCAATAAATGAGTTAGCAGATGTCGTTATGGTCCTATAACACAAATTGCTACTGATGACAAACTTAATTAAGCCCGGCAGAGCTTTGCGTAAGGTTGTCAGTAAAATATATGTGTAGTTTCTTGTTTGGTGATTATTATTGATTAAATTAACACCAAACGCAGGGGAAAAGGTGTATAACGGTCGCGTATGGCAACCATCTTGGAACTTTGCACAGAAGAGAACACGACTGGGTCGATTGTCAGCGGCCAGGTAGCTCAATTGGTAGAGCTTCCGGATCCGTCTATAGTTTGGAGGAACCCGGGTTCGAACCGCGATTTAGCCGTGCATTTTCCCACTCCTATTACAGTGGTGCCTGTGACCAACCCTTGTTACAAGCATTGTGTGTACGCTTGGCAAGGGGATACCCGAGCATGTGTTGTAAATATAGTTGTGTCTTCAGGGACAAATACTTAAAAAAACACCTGAAAGGTAGTAGGAATACAGCGGTACTGGACTGGGTCGATCTTAAGCGACCAGGAAGCACAGTTTGTATAGCGTCTGTCTAGAGTTCGGAGGATCCCGGGTTCTAACCGGTGTCTACAGCTGTGCCGTGACAAGCCATATTGTTTCAAGTACTCGGTGAATGTTTGGCAAGAGGATACCTGATCATGGATTGTAAATTGTGTTGTCTTTGGGGGCGAAGACTTAGAAAAAGGGGGAGGAAGGAAGCCGAATTGGTCTTTCGATCGCCGACGGCCAGATAGCTGAATTTGTAGAGCGTCAGTCTAGATTTTGGTGTAACACAACATGAATTGACATCATTGGCTAAATTTATTATCAATATTAATGACATAATTAATTTACAATACTAATGTTCATCCTGTTCCACCATGTTTTATTGTCACTCATTTTTATATATGTATTCTCTACACTGTATTGTTTATGAGAATAAAATAATTGTCACTGTCATTGGAGGACTAGTGGTTGATTCCCGGTTTGACCGTAATTCTGTTACATGTACATGTATATCATGAGCGGAACTCATGGATGGACATAAGAGGAAACCCATCAACGTAGATGGTTGGAACTTACGAGCTTTCGTTAATCTATCTCCAATTATTTCATTGACGCATTTGATAGGATCAGTCGAGTTATTTCTGTACATTCTTACCAAATTTAATCAAAACATTTCGGATTAAAGTTGTTCATTTCAAGAAATGCTAAATGAAAAAATCACTGCTACATAACATCTGTTGCCAAGGGTTGTTGAATTGTATAGGGACTGTAATGTATATATATGTGAGTAGCGTATAAATGCATAGGGGTGTATGCTGAAAGGGGTTGAGCGGGCTCCAATGTAATTCAACGTAAAGCATGTTGTATTAGCCCTGCTCAAGTCCGAAATTTTGACGTAAGCATGGTTTAACACTTGTTATAGTAGTCTTCTAGTAGTCTTTCTCAAGTCCAATATTTGGTAGATGGCCGGGGGGG